CCCCGTATGGTTGTTCGAAATTTGGGTCCATGTAAGTCGGCCCTATGAAGTCAGATCGCGTTGATTTTGGACTCAGCTCGGCGAGCTCTTTCTCTCTCTCAGCTCGGCGAGCTCTTTCGAACTAGTCACACCTTTGATAGCTTTTTTGAATAACATAAATATCGATATAAATCGGAGTCTTTGTCCTCAGAGCAATTTTTACCGATAATTGGTTAAAAAAGATAATTAAATATCAAACTTAAAAATTTTTTATAAAAAAACCAGAGATTTGGTGAAAAAATGACTTAAATTCTATAATATTTGCGAAAATAAAGGCAATTTTTAAGATTTTTTCATAAAACCTAGAATAGGTTCAAAAAAGTCCGAAATAGGTTGCAAATAGGTTTTAGGTCCAAAAAGGCCGAAATAGGTTTTTTAGGTTCGAATAGGTCCAATATAGACTCATTATTTCGACCCAAAACAGTGTTTTTTGTGCATATCTCATCAAGACTAGTTTGCAAAAAAAATAGAGAAAAACCTAAAAAAAACTCGCTCTGGTTATGACCCCTCTTATTTAGGCAATGAAGCAGATAATTTATCAAACGTAGAAAATACAATGAATGTTGATGTATGTAAAAGATAAGAGAAGAAGATGGGGCTGGCTTTTATACTAAACTGTTTAAGGGCTCTCACCCATACACAACATTTTAGTAATTTTTTGGTTACGGTTCAGGTTTTTTTATGAGAATCCGATCCAGATCAGACTCATTTCGAGTATGCTATACTTTTATTACTCACTGTACATAAGAAAAAATGTTGCTTAAAAAACGTTAATTATTTAATTATCATGTTTTACTTACGTTTCCAACAACTTTTATGATGAATTTTTAAATTCGATAAATGTGCAGCCATTTCACGACCACAATACCTACAAGCAACTTTATCATTTCCAATTTTAGTAAAATGTTTCCATGTTGAAGAAGTTCTTCCTATAATATTTTATATTTTTTAATTAGACATATTTCATATTAAAATATTTAAAACTAGATTATCTAATATTAAACAAATTTAACTTTTGGGAAATTTAAACAAATGCAACCCGGGGGATTTGTGCAATGTTTGCAATAATATTCACTAGAGCTGTCCGAGACCAAAATTTTTCCAAGACTCAAGACTCAAGACCCAAGACAAAATTTTTTCCAAGACCAAGACTCAAGACCAAGACAAAAACTCCAAGACTCAAGACCAAAAATCAAGACCAAATTTTTAAATCCCATAGGTCAAATTTTTGGTTTATTTTTGACCGCCAAGGTCTGGACCGCCAAGGTAAAGCCAAAATTTTGGCGATACCCAACGTTAGCCCCCCCCCCCCATTCGAAATCGACCCCCCTGGCTACGCCCTTGTATTAAGGAGGATATCGAGGTTTAAAGGGGAATTTAAGTGAGTAAGAGGGATCAAAAGTAATATTATGAAGTTGGGGGATCTGGGTGATTAGGTAATGGTGGCTGCGATATCTATCCTCTATTTTATTTCTATCTTTTTGCGCGTATGCGAAAATTTGTACAATTTTTAGTAGGCCAAGAAGCCAGAATTCTTCATTTTCCAGCGCCGCAGGCGAAAATTTTGGGAATTATGAAGGCCGAGAAGTCAAAAATCTTCCTTTTCCTGCGCCGCAGGCAAAAATTTTAAGAATTTTGGAAGGCCGTATGCCAAAAAAATTCACTTTTCCTGCGCCGCAGGCAAAAATTTTAAGAATTTTGGAAGGCCGTATGCCAAAAAAATTCACTTTTTCTGCGCCGCAGGCGAAAATTTTGAGGATTTTGGATGGCCAAGCACTAGGTCCAAAAAGGCCAAAAAACCAAGACCAAAAAATAAAACCAAGACAAGACCAAGACAAACACCCCAAGACCAAGACCAAGACCAAGACCGAAAAAAAACCAAGAAAAGTCTTGGTTCCAAGACCAAGACCAAGAGTCTCGGACAGCTCTAATATTCACCATCGCGAATTCAAACTGACACTTGTCTTTGGATGATTCTTTTATATGGATAAGATCAATCGGCTAATGGATCTTATCGGTATCAATAGCAGTAGTACTTACTCATATAATGAGAATACATCCTATCGAAGCTGGTAATCAGTGGAACTGTCTGAGTAATTAGTCAATGACAAATTTAATGGGAAATAATTTTGTTAAATTAATATTTTCCGCCATTTTCTAGCCAAAAAATTAAAGAAGTTCTTCATTTAATATTTTTTATTCTTCAATTTTCAAATTAAAGAAAATTGATACTAATTTTTTTAATTATAAGAAATTTAAGACTAAGATGACAGAAATGTGGAAAAAACTTTGAAAGATTTTCATTATACAGAGTGGGGCAAAAGTTCGGCGATAAATGTTATTAATTGAATCTATTGTAATAAAAAAAGCATTTAGCAAACAAATGATAAAATATAATAAATATAATTAACCTCCTTTACCAGTTTTTCCAGCATTAAATGAGTTTTCAAGTTCCTCAGTTCCCATGATATGGAAATCTTGAATTGGATGATATTCCGGATGTTCATTTAGTTTTACAGTAAATTCAGCTAAAAAATTCTTTTGATTAATTGAAGAAAAAATTAGATACTGATAAACCGTATTGTTGCCCTTAAATGGAATCAGAAAAAAATTAATTCTGGAGTTAGACTATCTTGGACAATACCCAAACGCCTACTTTTGCCGTCCTCTTTTAAATATTCACATCTTTAAATATCCAACTTAATTATTCACAGTACGGCCCCTTAAGTTAAGTTCGGTACCCCTTTAATTGGGAACCTTTGAGATTACCGTGTTCCTCATGTCCTTGTCCACTCCCGCTGGTCGATCCCAATGTCTTCTTTCCTTTATCCCCATTACCACCGCCTTCCAACAAAACGGAGATATTTAGAATAATTAAAAGACAAATAACAAAATTAGTTAACTTCATCTAAAAATAATTTATTTTACTATATTTGTTATATTTCATGAATTTTCGTTAATAAATAAATTTTAGGATGCTTTAGAAGTTTTATAATTTTGGAGGACTACCAAATAAAATACTCAATATAAGGTTATACGACACTTGGGGACGGACATTTGAGGACCGACATTTGAGGGTTGACATTTGGGATTGCGGAATGACATTTAAGGACCGACAGTTGAGGATCGAATTTGAGGATTGTATTTGAGTAAAAGAATATTATTATCTAAAAACAGGAATCATCACAAATTTCGTACCACAGGCAGGATCCTCAAATTCGATCCTTAAATGTCGGTCCTCAATCCTCAAATGTCGGTCCGCAAAAGTTCGTCCCCAAGTGTCGCACCACTCTAAATAAAATTAAAGTGTCTATAAATTTGGTGGTGTCTACTGTTTTGTTTAATCAAATCACGAATACCGTATTACAGCTAATTGAATTCCCGGCATTCTGTTATTAAAACACCTTCCAAAGATTCATTCTGTTAGAGAGAGGCATTCAAATTGAGCGGGGCATTCATTAGAGGTAATACGATAGTTAAAAAATTTCTTTCTAAATGTTTATTGCATAATAAGAGCGACTTTTATGGAGAGGATTTAGGCAGCCAAAAATTATTACACGTCGATCAGGCGACTGTCTACCGACTTGCTATCTACATACACGTACATCATTTTTAAGTAACGCCGACTTTAAATATACGTCGACTTAGAGGACAAGAAAAAATCACGAGAATGCCAACATCCATAAAGAAATCTATTATTCGATTTTTATATCTGATCAACTGTATGTACATATCTAAAACATTTTTAAAAATTGTCTACAACAACATACACAAAAGTACAGCTTCAAAAATAATCGAATAGATACCGACTTGCTATCTTATAACTGTATTTTTGGAACAATGAAACTTCATTATTTTTGAAGTTGTACTTTTGGGTAAATTATTGTAGACAGTTTTTACTGAGTTCAAATCCGACTAAACATGGAAAACTATATATAAAATTTCTGAAAAATTGTCCATGGTAACCGAACCTTTGATTTGGTTACAATCTTCTCTTGCAATAGGGTTCTGGATAGGGTTGAGTTCGGCCCGATCCGAATGATCGAGTCAGGCATTGAATTTTGGCCCGAAAACGACTCAGTCGGGCCGGCCCGAAAAAATACGCCCGAAAAAATGACTCGAACGTCGGCCCGACTCGAAAACCCCTACCCTAGTTCTGGACCAAACCGAAGAACCAAAAATTTTTGGTTCGGATATCGGTACGGTTCCGGATATTCGAAGATTTTTCAAGAACCGACAACCCTAACTGCGAACATGTTAGGTGTAAGTACAAAAAGTTTAATTAGAAAGTCATAGGGGAAAAATTTTCAAAATATAAGTGCATTACAAAAATACAATTTAAAAATTTTATTCTCGTTCAAATCTCTTATATTTCTCTCCCAAAGGAGGTTTTTTAGCACCGAAAGTGCCCCCTACCTCCCTGGCTACGGGACTGTTCCTCACTTCAAGCTCTCTCAAAAGACATAAATTGCCCTTATTCAAAGTGGCCCGTATTTTTAAAATTTTTTCAAATTTTCATTCAGATACCTCGGAATAATAAAAAAAGTAGCTCATTAAATTTAATTCTGAGTAAGAAAAAAAATACATAAATAGTATTTTAATAATAAAATACACACCAGTCTTTTTAATATATTTTCATTTAAATAAATCAGTTGCTGCAATATTTTTACTAACACATTCTTCACACAAATCTATACGTAAGGTTACTCCAGCTCCATCACGTTGAATTTTTTCGTCCGATTTGAATAACCTTTCACGACAATTTTTGCATAAATAAATTTGTAAAAAATCTTTGGGTTGAAGTGAAGAAGAACATTTTACTTGGGTAGATGCAGCTAAAGCTTCGGCAAGATGAGCTAATGATGTTGTAGAGTTTAATGAAGGTGTAGGGGCGGGAGGAGGAGGAACAGGAGCTGCAACAAGGGGAACATTGTTGTTGTTGTTGACAACCGAAGGGGGAGGAATACATGGTGGAGGAACATTTGTTGTTGAGGAAGAAGCAACAGGAGGAAGATTAGAATTAATAGGTGGAGTAACTATAACAACTGTTGGAGGATTTATAATTTCAGTTGAATGTTGTTGTTGTAATTGTTGGTGTTGTTGACGTAGTCTTAACTCACGGTCATGTTTAAATGTGTCAACCTATGAAAGAAAAATTTTAATTTACAAGTAAATTTTTTTGATTTTTTAAATTTGCTACTGCAAGACTATTGACTATTAATATAGAGATACCATGCCTTTTCTTACTCCGTACCGCTGACCTTGTGCTCCTTCAGGACGAGGCTAGGAGCCCAGAGAACCATATACGTACAGTACTGACGGTATTTTTAGGTAATGTGTTCCTTATGGGTATCTAGCAGGGTTGGGTCGGGTTGAGAAAAAGTTGGGTTTCGATCGGGTTTTCAAAAATTCCCCAGGTCGTGTTTCGAGTCGGAAAAAGGCCGGGTTTTGGGTAACACGACCCATCCCTAATATTCAGTACATTTAACTAAGTAATCTACGAATATTCCCAAAGTTTTTTCCATTTTTGTCTTTTCAGTTATTCTATTACAGTCTTCAACAAAAACATATTCCGCGCTCAGCCTTATGTAAGGATGATTCACCTAGCAACTTTAAAACGCTTAGGTGAGGGTGAAACGATCTAAAAAGGAAAAAGAGAAAGCATTAGTCGTGGTAAAACTCCTATGTACGGTGAGCAAAAACGCCTAGAAATAACTATGAGGATGTCGCAGGAATCCTGCCCGCTGGCTGAACTTATGCTAAACTCTTTCACTTAATTTTCAAATTTAAAAAACAAAGCACCTTATCCTTAATAAGTTTAGTTATATGTTTAATGTCGGAATCTGGGATTAATTGTTGTTCCACCATTTGTTGAACAATTTCTTCTGCTTTATCAACCTCTATGTCAAAAGAAAATAATAACCCTTCATTTTCTTTAAATTTGTATTGAGCTCGTTTACGTTCGTCAATTACATATAATTGCATATGAATCTTTAAAAAAATAATTTTTCTTTAAAAATTTCCACTAAAAAACACCTCATTATTAGTTCCAGTCAAATCCTGCTCCCTATTTTGAATATCTATCCGAATACCGCATTGCTCCTCTTCTTCTCCATTTAATAGCTGTTGAGTAGATGATGCTTGGTCTAAATTATTTTTCTCGTTTGTAACACGGTCAATAATTTCTTTAATTTCAGGGTTTTGAATACGTTCAAAACATGTTGATTTGACATTCTAAATAACAAAAATTTAAAGGAGAAAGAAAATTAAACGAGTATTTAGTATTAATATCAAGAGTTACTCGAAACCCGATACCCTAAATCTGGATTATTTCGACCCTATCCGAGATCCATTTACCGGTGTAATACCTAATAAATGAGCGAGCTAAGGCTATCTAGCTCGATAAAAACCAGAGGTGGGACGGAACAGTCAGAGGTGTCGGAAATCGGAAGGCTCAAAAGCAGGAACTCGGGAATCGGAAATCAAAATTTTTTCGGAAATAGGAAGGAAAAAACGCCGGAAATCGGAATTCCGACCCAGCATGATAAAAACTCTTACTACTCGACTGGAATAAATCAAAGCAAAAAAACTCGTGAACGAACCAAATCGAAAAAACACATGCTCAAATAGCTTAAAAGGCTCAACTCGAAAAAATCAAGCTCGAAAAATGGATCGAGCGCGTCGACTCGAACCGAAAACGGCAAACCTTAAGCCTATGAATTGGATCGCGTATTATTATGTATTATCCTTGGGGAGTAAGACTCGTTTCCCTTAGCCTATAATCATATTTTTAAAGTCACCCCGCTAGGTTGTGGTGGCTGAACAACAATATTAGAAGCATTAGTAACTCCATTAGTAATAATATTAGTCGTAGTAGTTGCAGCTGTAGCTTGAGAAGATGCTGCTAATGCTTCGGCAAGATGAGCAAGAGAAGTTGCTGTATTAAGAATTGGGGCTGTACCAACAACGCAAGCAGTAGTAGGAGCAACGATAACAACAGCAGCAGCAGTTGGGACAACAGCAGGAGTGAGAATTTCAGAAGCTTGTTGTTGTAATTGTAGTTGGCGGAGCCTGAACTCTCGGTCACGTTTGAAACAATCAACCTATATTTTAAAAAAATTTTTTCGTAAGTCAATGAAAGGGGGACGAACATATCGGGACGGACATCTCGGGATTTCTGTAGCTCCGGCCCCAAAGAAGCCCCGGCCCAGAGACGGACACTGGAACTAGCTCCCGGGGCATACCAAGCATTGGAGACTACATGGGGTTCTAAAACATAACCCTATTCTTCCATAGAGCAATTTACTATCCGAGCCCCAGTGGGTGTAGGTCCCAAAATCAGTAGGGTAATTGTCCGTACATTTAAATATCCCGATATGTCCGCATATCACCAATAAACACACCTTATCCTTAATTAGTTTAGTGATATGTTTAATGTCGGAGTCTGGGATTAATTGTTGTTCAACCATTTGATGTACAATTTCCTCAGCTTTATCAACTTCAATATCAAATGAAAATAGCAACCCTTCATTTTCTTTAAATTTGTATTGAGCTCGTTTACGTTCGTCAATTACATATAATTGCATATGAATCTAAATTTTATTGAAATTTTTTAGTTTAAATAAACCACAAGGCTTTTATGAACTCACATGCGGGAGGGGGTATGTTGAGGATTTTATATAATTCATGGAAGTAGGTAAGTCAATAACTTGCTGTCTCATATCAGGATTTCTACAAGCAAAGCTAGACCGATAGTACCTATCCACTCGAGACTTCCCATCAGACTAATTGCAAGACCTATACCAAGACTACACTAAAAAGACCAACAACCATAAAGGGAAAACTGAGTAGTCTAAATCGAATGTGTTGAAGGGATCGGCCTGTAATGGATCCAATCCTAGATTTTTTACTGGACCCAGAGTCAAGATCAAGGCATTTACCTATGTTCCTTGATTTTTCCGTGACTTTGATTATACTTACTCAAGGACAAGAATATGGGAAGGTCGGTCTTTTTATTTCCCTAACTCTACCATAAACTTCAATAAAAATTCTGAAGAAAACCACCTCATTATTAGTTCCAATCAAATCTTGTTCTCTATTTTGAATATCAATTCGAATCCCAAATTGTTCTTCAGGCATAAAAAATTCATCGTTTAATAATTGCCGAACAGTGGAACGTTCATCCTTGTTTGTTCTTATGCATCTATCGATAATTTCTTTAATTTCGGGATTTTGAATTCGGTCAAAACAGGCTGGTTTGACACCCTTAAATTTAACAAAAGTCAAAAAAAATTGAGGAAAAATAATTCGAACCGAAACAACTTTTCGATAAACTTGAGCAGCATATTGACATTCACTATAAGGATATTCACCAGTAACCATTTCTAGGAGACACATTCCGAAGGCATAAACTTTAAAAATTTTTTTTTAAATATTATAGATGCAGGAGATAAACTAAGGGGGACCGAGGAACCCCCTTTGGATTTTCTATCCACTGACCTAGAGTTGGTGGGTTCAGGAATACTTCCAAAAAAAAGTAAATAGAAATAAATTTTGGGGAGGAGAACAACCAGGGGGGCCTGAGCAACTCCTTTGGATTTTCTCTACATTATTAAACTGTTCTTATGTAAGTTGGAGGTTCAGGAATCCTGCCGTCACGATTCCCAAAAACCCGCCGATTTTTTGAACCCGAGAATTAAAATTTTTTGGGAATCCAAACCGACACATTATCCCAAATCTAAAATTTGTTTAAACCCAAAATCTAAAAAATTTGTCGCGAATTTTCCCTCCTTTATTAAACTGTCCTAGAGTTGGGGTTCATGAATCCTGCCGTCCGCCAAAAAACGTCCCAAAAATCGGGATTTCACGACGGTTTCCCCGAATTCCCCTCGATCTGCCGAACCCGAAAATTAAAATTCTATCGTAAATCCAAGCCAACACATTCTCCCAAAATCCAAAATTTATTTTTTTTCTCAGGAATTCCCGTTTACTATCCCCGAATTTTTTTTTGAAAAACCAGAGATCCTTCTGCCCCTTCCCAGAATTCTCTCCCATTTTCTGGGAGAGAATTCTGATTCTGATGATGATGAGAATTCTGATTTTCCGGGAGGGAATTCTAATTCTCTCCCATTTTCCGAAAAAAAATAAATTTTGGAATTTAAATTAAAAATTATACCATCAACTTCTTCATCATATTGTTCTTCATACATTTCAGGTGCCATAAATTCTGGTGTTCCAATAACACTTTTTGCATGAGATTTATTTTTGAGAGTGGCTAGACCTGAAATAGAAGTTTAATAAATTTTTAATTTTAAAACAAATTTAAAGTTGTAAGGGCGAGGTAAAAGCTTAGCTTCTGGTAGGCATTGATACTGAAACCCTCCTGGCAGTTTATTGTTATGCGCTTTCGCCTCCCATGACAAATAAGGGATGTCATGAGTTTAGAAAGTCGTTAGGATTTTCAAAAATTTTTTAGTAACAGGTTTTGTGACACAAACATGTACCGAACAACATTTACATGTCCCTAACGGAGTTGTCTAAAGGGGCGCAGCTTTCACAAAGGGCATAGCCAGGAAACCGATTTCAGGAGAGGGCGATAAAATGGGGACTAAATTTTGGCCTTCCGAACCCAAATTTTTTGTACATACATAATTTCCATTTTTTAAAATTCTGGGAATTTTGGAGGTTGTAGGCGTAAAAATTCACTTTTCTGATCATTTTCCTCCCAAAATTTAATTCATTTTACACATTTCAAGACGGGCTATAGAAAAAGACGCCCTGGCTACTCCCTTATCTTTCCCCATCTCCTTTTCTAAATAGAATTTACCCATACCAAGAATTTTAAATCCTATCCCCCTCTATCCCCTTCTCTCCCTCCATGCCCTATTCCCTCTATAGCCCTGCCCCCCCCCCCTTCCAAAAATTTCCCCATCAATTTTAAATTTCAAAAAAATTTTATTTGGCAAACCTAAATCCCCAATTTTTACACTTCCAGTAGTTCCAGTAATAAAAATATTATCACATTTCAAGTCTCTATGAATAACAGGAGGTTGACGAGTATGCAAAAAATATAAGCCTTTGAGTATTTGACGACACCAAGATTTGAGAACTTTGACATTAATTCGTTTAAAACGTTTCAAATAAAGTTTGAGAGTCCCAGAAGTCATCAATTCAGTGATTAGGACAATATACCTAAAAAATTAAGATTTTAAAATTGTAAACATTTTGTTCAGGGTTGGCTTTTTCGAACCGGACCGACTTTCAAGTTTTTTTCGGGCCAAATTCAAGGCCCGCGATTTTTCAAATTCGAGGCCCCCTACCGTGGTAAAATTAAAAAAATAATTTTTTAATCTGAAAACTTTTTTCCTTAACCACAAAAATAAAAAATACTATTTCCCAAATTAAAATCAGCCTAATCAAAAAAATTTATTTAAATTTTAATCAAATTCCGGGAAAAAATTCATTTCCGTAATTTAAAAGTTTTTTAGGAATTTTTTTGACCTCTAAAAATTTTTAAAAATTCGTACCCCACAAAAAAGAATTTTTTCCAGATTAAAATTTTCATCGTTAACAAAAAAAAATCCGAAATGATCGCCTAGTCAAAAAAAATTTTAAAAATTTTATTTTCTTAACCAAAAAAAAAGAATCTTCAATTCTTAAAATTCCCGTTGTAAAAAAATTTTTTCCCAAGCCACAAAAATTCAAAAAAAATTTTGCACCAAAAATTCAGACACTCCAAAGTTGAAGATAAAATTCAAAATTAAAAAATCGTAAAAGGAATTTTTTAAATTAAAATTCTAACTGCTAACCAAAAATCGATATGATCCCGTAGTAAATTTTTATTTTCTTAACCCAAAAAAATCTTCAACTCCTAAAATTGCCATAATTAGAATATAAAAAATTTTCCAAGCCCACAAAATCCTAAAAAAATTTGCCCCAAAAATCCCCACCCCCCCCCCCCTTCAAATTTAAAATTCAAACAAACTTCCGTTTTCCATCTGTCCTTTCCCAATAATCATAAAATTTGACAATGTTTGGGTGTTGAAGTCCTTTAAGCATTTCAGCCTCATCTCTAAAACGTTGTCTTTCAGGCTTGCTTAATTTTTGTTCTTGTAATTCACACCAAGCGACGGCTACGCCTAAAAAAGAAATTTTTCGAAAAAATTCAGAAAATTCAAAAAAAAACCTGTTTCTGTGTCTAAACCACGATAGACAGTTTTAAACGATCCACGACCCAATTCTTCGTCAAATTTGAGGAAGCGACCATCTTAACAAATAGAAAAAAGTTTAGGAGAGTTTAGAAGAAAAATAGGAAGTTTTGAAAAAAAAGAGGTTAAGACCCAGGTACCAACATAAAAATAAAAAAATCGAAGGATTCGTCTTGGTTTTTAAGTTTAATTTCGGAGTATAACGAAAAAGTTGGCTTTGGTTATTTTGTCAAACCCTACCAAAAAATAGATTCTCAAGTAACCGAATTTTTAGATCGGAAATCTTAAAAAAAAAGTCCTTGAACCCTGTTCTAATCGAGTACCTTGAACTAATTCTTGACTCATGCCAGTCAGGGAAAGATCAAGAAACAATGAAAAATGCTTTGATTTCCTTTATCTTGACTCTAGATCTAAAAAATACAGCCAGAGCGTAGCCATGGGCTTCTAGGGCTAAAGCCTCCCCCTGAAATGGGGTAAAGGGAAAAATTTTGGCGCACACTTTATCTTAGCCCCCCCCCCCTAAAATTGACCCTCTTGGAATACAGACTAGAAAGTATCCCCTAATTACGGATGTATCGCCTAATTAGCCATATCCCATAATTACGGATCTGGCCTAGACACAAAGAGGTAAAATTACTTCGTCCCTCCCCCGTGTCGAATGACACCAAAATCGGCGTGATCGGACAAAATTTGACAAAGGTATGACATAAGTCGCCGACTCTGATAGGTCTACTTAATGTCATAACTTTGTCAAATCAAGGCAGATTTCGTTGATTTCGGTTTTTTTACCCCAAGGAGACCCTGTGTATCAGAAAAAATTTTATTATAAAAATTAAAACCCGGAGATTTGTCGATCGGTTTTTCCTCGTCATAGTCCTCATCATAATCCTCAGACAATTTTCTCCGTTCCTCCTCTTCCTGTTGTTTAATTTCAGCTACAGCAGCTGCCGGAATTAGAGTTATGGGGGTTATTGCATCTACCGAGTCTATCGCATTTTGTTTTAAGGCTTCGGAAACAACGGGCAATTTTGCGAGATTTAACTGAAAAATTGGAAGAAAATTTTAAAAAAATTCGAAAAAAACCTGTTGAAATATTGGAGAAGGTATTGCAGTTGGGGGAGTGCCAACAAGTGTATCGGCTGGTGAAGGAGCGCCGCTGCCAGTGGAGAACTAGAAAAGATGAGAAAGGAATAGAACAAAAATTTTGAAAAAAGGTCTAGAAAAATGTAAAATAGAAGGGCCCGGAACCTAAAAGAATGAAAAATAAACGGACTCAAGCTCCGGAAATAGGAAAATAAACAAGCATAAACCCACAGGTTTTAATAATAGAAGGGCCCAAACTTCAAAAATTTGCAAATCAAAAGGCCAAAACCTTTGGTATGAAAAAATTTGGAAGAAAAAATAAAAGAGAGGTGAATGAATTTTTGAGAAGGCTCTAGAGGGTTGGAAAATGAAAAAAGCCCAGAAAACATGAAAAATGAAGGTAAAAAATTACAAAAAAAGGCCATAAAAGACAACGACTATTTTTCGAGCTTTAAAGTATTTTTTTTGGATATTGAAAAAAATTTCTAGCCGAAAAAAAACCACGAAGATTTGTCGATTTCGTTAACGAAACGATTTTTAGAAAATTTTGTTTTGTTTAAAAAAATTTTGGAGATGATCCGAGCCCCGACCCTTTTCGACCCAAAACCCGATCCAAATAGAATTTTGAAGGCAAGACCAGACTTTTTCTTAACCTGTGACATACCTGGTATGGACCATACATAACACGAAAAAATAAAAGTTTACAAAAAACAGCATTCTCATACCCTCCCAACTCAAATAAATTAGAAAGCTTAACAAAAAATTATTGAAAAAATGACCCCAAAAATTCCAAAAAAAACATAAGAAACCTGTTTGGACCACAATTGCTGTTTAGCTTTAGGTCGACTTAAACGCCACTCCCTTTGGACAGCCTCAAGCCTAGACTTTTCTTCTGCAGAAAGACAAGTATGGGAGTCCCAAGCATTTGAAGAACTAAAAAAGAAAAATTAATAAGCCTGGGCCTTCGACTGAACTCTGGGTATTGAGTTATTGACCTGGGCCTGATCCGGGTCTGTAGTCCAGGAAAAACCCAAGAAAGTCTGAAATACCTGGACTCTGGGTACAGGAAAAACCCCAGGCCTTGGTCAACCAGCTTAATCCCTAATATACAAACCAACTAGTGAGCGGAAAAATCGATTCTTCCGGATTCAGAAATCGAATTTGGCAATGAAGCCGGATCGGATCCGGCCGGATTTTTCTGGATTAATCCGGTCCGGAAAAAATCCGGAGATCGCGAAAAAAAATCCGGATTTGGGATCCGGACTCCGTAAAAATCCGGCCGGATCGGTCCGGTTCCGCTCAATAATATTGACCAACTAAATGGGTTAACACTAGATCACAGCCACAGATTGCCCAAAATTTATACAAAAATTTACATAAAACAGCCAAAAATTAAAAAAAATCGAAAAGACTGAAAATCCCAAAAATAGTTAAGAAAAAATTTTTTAGAGGAGCCTATAAACCCCGAAAAAAAGTCCACCCCAACCTGAACCCCCAAAAAATTTTTAAAATTAAAAAAAACCTCGTAGCAGCTGGCGGCTCATTTCCCCGTTTAATCACAGTTCGTCTTCTCCTCGCTACCCCCAAATTGCTATTTAACGGATTTCTGGCCGGCGAGGAATGATTTGAAGCTGGAATGTGTGTTTGTCCGTTGGTCTGTGCAGAATTTGTTGTTTTCCTTCCAGAAATGTTTTTGACGTCGCCGTTGATTGAATTTTCCATTTTTGGGCGAAAATTGAATTTTTTGACAGGAAATTTTAGAAAAAAATTTTTCTGAAAAATTTCTAAAAAATTTTTTAAATTTTTTAGAAATTTAAAACTAAAAAACAAAAAAAAATGACTTTTAGCCTATCAACAGACTTTTCTTTTCGTTTTTCTCTTTCTCTGAAAATACATAGTATATTCGCGATGGACACGCCCAATTAGGCGCACGCCCATAACGGCGCAAAGCCATAACTTGCTTCAGAATTTCCGAATCAGACCAAATTTAGTATTAAACGATTCCTCTCATCGAGCTGAAGAGATTGGTACCAAAATTGATAAAGGTCAGAAAATTTCCAGTAAGTTGAGGCTTCGCGCCGTTATGGCCGCGCGCCTACTTGGGCTGTGTTCTAAAAAGATATTCGCACAGGTTAAACACGTTTGGGGTCAGTCGAGTATCTGAAGGAGTCCATTAGGGGCTATTGAAAACCATAGGGGTCTTAAAAACGCAAGACCAGAGTTCTCGGTTCCTGGAAAAATAAGGGGAACTATAAAGAAAATCCATGTACAGCCCAATTAGGCGCGGCGCAGAGCCATAACTAGCTTGAAAATTTCTGGACCTTATCAATTTTGATACCAATCTCTTTAGCTCGATGAGAGGAATCGTATAATACCAAATTTGGTAAGATTCAGAAATTTTCCAGTAAGTTATGGCTTTGCGCCGTTATGGCCGCGCGCCTAATTGGGCGTGTCTTTCAGAAAATCCTCCAAAAAATTTTCTAAAATTAATGGGGAAGTTATTGAAATTTTGGATGTTTGAGTCTAGTCTATAACATGAGAAAAATAAAATTCTCAAAAAATTTGGGGGGCTAACTTTTTCAAATATTTAAAATTTTTCTTTAAAAATGATTAAATATTAATTTTATTGAGTAAATAATTTTGAAAGAAATTCTAAATTAAGTAACGAAAGATGAATAAACAAGAAAGAATTTCATGTGGACCAAAGGGAATATTATTTTATGTCTCGTCGATTGCCCCATATATTCGCAGTCTTTTTTGGGCAGACCACAAGGGAAGAGGGAATGAGGACGTTTAGGCGCAGGAACATTTTTGGCGCGCGCGCGAGGGGCGAAGGGGTTATTTAGGCGCCGGGACATTTTTGGCGCGAGGCTTAAATTTGGCACTTGGGCGAATCCTGAATTTACGAAAATTTTACCAAATTTCTTTAACATCCTTTACTACCTCCTCCAGAAATTTCAGAATTTTTCATCAAATATTTTTTAAGTTATAGTCGAAAAACCTCAAAAATTGGGCGTTTTTGGAAGAATTCTGATTTTTGGCCATAATTTCAGAAATTCTGGACCAAAAATTCTGAAATTTTTAGAGGTCCTAGATGAACATAAGAGGGCTATTTTTGCCTATTATTGCCAAAAGAAGGCTATTATCGCAAAATTTTACCCCTTTAGATAACCAATTAACTGTTTTATAAGCCCGCGCCAAAACGGCCCCACGCCGAAATCGACCTAGTCTCCCTCATTTTAATGCATGCGAATAAAGGGGGGGGAGTTGTTCGATTACTCTCCGTTCATTCGATTACTCTCCGTTCACTCATCAAATGATGGGAAATTCCACTGACGCCTATAAAAAATTACAACAATTTACAAAAAATGCATGAGTTTAGTCTTTCCATATTTGGGGATGATAATATTTTTGTGTTACACAAAAATATTTAATAATATTTTTGGGAAACCCATACATTTTTTTGGTTGTAAATCATTCTAAATGAGAAAATTTATTAAAGAAATTGCGAATAAATTAAAAATGGGACTCGCCCAAATAGGCGCGCGGCCATAACGGCGCAGAGCCATAACTTGCTGGAAAATTTCAGGCCTTTATCAATTTTAGTACCAATCTCTTCAGCTCGATGAGAGGAATCGTTTGATACTAAATTTGGTAAGATTTGGAGATCTTGAAGCAAGTTATGGCTTTGCGCCGTTATGGCCTCGCGCCTACTTAGGCTGTACCCATTAAAAATAAAAAGGCATGTCAGGACGGTTCAGCGCCAATTATTTTGAATAAATACAGTAAGAAATGACCCAAAAAATTTATTTAAATTTTTTCAGTTTGTAATTTACCCAAATTCAATCATCTGTTTTTGGATTGACTAATGGAAAATTAAATTGGCAAGCTGCCTTAGTGATACCCCATGTTTAGTATATCTCTCGTTATAAGATAAAGTTTTATCAGTCCTGAGGAGGTTCTGCTGTAATTTTGCAAAGACAGACGATGAAATAGACTAAAAAAAACAAATTTTGCGTCCCAAAATCTATTAATAGAAAAGCGAATAGTTTTAAATTTAGAATGAAAAAAGAAGGAAAGTAAATAGCGGAACAACTATTTTTGTAAACTTTTAAGTAATCTTTGCAGCTAAATTTTTGCAGCAAGCGAATTTTGTGGTGAATTTTTAAGTGAATTTTTAAAATATATTTAAAAGCCTTAATGAATGAGGAACCGTGTCTAAAGTAAATTTTTAGCTTGATTAGATAAGTTGGGATCAGACTCCTAGCTATGCAGTCCAGAGAAGCTCGCAACCCCACGACATTTGAATGAGTGAATTCAGAGGATCAGAATTAGGAGGAGATGGCTTATCGTATTTTTTTATTAGTGACAACATACTTAAAAATATTAAAAAAATGGAGTCCACCCCTCAAGACCTACACCCTCTAGACATACACCCTGAAGAATCTCCACCCTGAAGACCTACACCCTGAGGACCTACAATTTTTTATCTACAAAATTTTTTACTTTTTATTTCTTTACAAGTTAATCGGGGGATTTAAAGGAGGTAAAGAGGAACTAGGAGGGATTAAGGGTGATATCGATGGATTCGAGGTTTTAAAGTGGATAGTGATCCCCTTTAATCCCTCAGGCTCACCTATTAAACTCGTAAAAAGAAAAAAATAAATAATTTGAGTTAATCAAAAAGTGTAGGTCTTCCGGGTAAATAGGTCTTCAGGGTGTATGTCTTGGGGGTGTAGGTCTTCAGGGGTGGATTCCCCACGACATTTGAATGAGTGAATTCAGAGGATCAGAACTAGGAGGAGATGTCTTATCGTATTTTTTATTAGTGACCTAAAATACTTAGCAAAATATTTTAAAAAATTATTACAGCCTTAACAAGTACAGGCGGACAAATCAAAAATTTATAAATAAAAATTGATTTATGTAAAAAATATTTTAAAAATATATTCATTTTAAAATTTAAAAATATAAACACAATATTTGTTTGTTTGTTAACTTTTGTGTACTTAAAATAAAAACTAGACTCATTATAAACGTAAACGCCAACGTGTTTTTCTATTTTTTCACTTCCTTTTTTTATAAATTTTTCTTGTACTGTGTACTTGAAAATTTAAAAGAACAAATAATTGGAAATTATTTAGAATTTTAAACGTTTTTTGGGGTATTTTTAACAAGGTTTGGAGCAGAGGTGGGTCGGAACAGTCAGAGGTGCTGGAAATCGGAAGAGCGGGAAATCCGAACTGGCTCAAAATTCGGAACTTGGAAATCGGAAATTTTTATTCGGAAATCGGAATTCAGACTCACCTCTGATTTGGAGGAAAGCTACTTAACTGTAGGCAATAGCAAGAAGGGGTTGTAGGGTGTCCGCGGGACTTCGGGATGAAATTTGGTAGACAGATAGATCATATCCTACTTATACCCCAAAGCCTCGCCTTTGTGAGAGGGTAAATGGTAAAAGAGCCCATTCTGAACTTTGAATTAGAGCCCAAACCTGCATGAGAGCTCCAACCTGTAGATCTGTTATAAGAGCTCCACATTGGGAAGGGGGAGGTTTTATTTTAGGAAATACGGTATTAAAATTATTTTTAATTCCAGGAAGTAGGCAAATTTCCTTATTAGAAAGAATTCTAACAAAAAATTCTGAACATTTTTATCAGTAAATTAAAAAAAAAATTTTTTTTTTGCATGACATGGGGACAATATAAAAATTTTTAAAATTAAAAATATCCAGAAAATGTGGAATTAAAGAAAAATGGAGAGTCTGAAAATCCTTGAAAAATGTGTGTTTAAATAAATAAATAATCTTCTTTCCGCCTCTTTATAATATTAGTCACGCTCTCGTGGATGGAAGAACGCACGGCGCGGGGTGTCAAGGCGCGCATAAGTGAAATAAAAAGGAAGAGGCTGGATAAATTTCTGAAATTTTTAAAAAATATTTTTGGATGTTGTTGTCTATCTTTTCGGTAAATTTCAGATTTTTAGGTTATCTATTTCGGAAGTTATGGGCAAAAAATTCGAAAATAATAGGGTAATTTTGGAGTAACTTGACTATTTAGTTAAAAAATGCTGAAATTAAAATTCTGATTTTTTTGAAAATTTTCTGAAATTAAAAAAAATTTTTGGATGTTGTTGTCTACCTTTTCGTCAAATTTCAGATTTTTAGGATATTTATTTCAGGAGTTATGCTCAAAAAATTCGAATAAAGACGGTATTTTTATAATAAATGGACTCTCACTATATTAAAAAATTCTGAATTTATTTCCCAAAAATTCTGATTTTTTTTTTGAAAATTTTCTGAAATTAAAAAAAATATTTTGGATGTTGTTGTCTACCTTTTCGTCAAATTTCAGATTTTTAGGATATTTATTTCAGGAGTTATGCTCAAAAAATTCGAATAAAGACGGTATTTTTATAATAAAAAAAATGAAAAATTTTCTGAAATTAAACTCTCACTATATTAAAAAATTCTGAATTTATTTCCCAAAAATTCTGATTTTTTCTGAAAAAATTTCTGAAATTTTTAGAGGACCTAACGAACATATCTAGCTACATTTATACAAAATTTTCATATTCCTGGGCTCTCAGCATTCACTTTTAAGTCCCAACCTTTAGGGTACCTGACTATTTAGTTTAAAAAAATCAGAATTTTTTCTCAGAAATTCTGATTTTTTCTGAAAAAATTCTGAAATTTTTTAGAGGACCTATCGAACATATTAAACCATATTTATACAAAATTTTCATATTCCTAGGCCCTAATCAGTCAAATTTAAAGTCCCCCCGCCTTGTCCTGCTTTACGCCCAAACATCCCTGTCATCCACTCTCGACATTAAAAACACAGTCCTTTTGTGTTGTTTTTTATTGGAATAAATGAGGATGTTATTTATTTATTTAAAATATTTGTTCGATGTACTTCCGCTGTTATTTTTCGCTCAATAAAAAATAAAAATACTAAAATTTAACAATTTTTTGTTTACTTATTTTTTTTATTAAAAATGACGAATTTTGGGTAAATAAATAATAAATTTAGAAAAGATTTTATCTTTGAGTTAAAAGTATAATTATTATAAAAATAAAAAAAATCTAATTTTATAATCAGTGTCCTTATCATGGTGTGTGGAAATTAATAAGTAGACTGAAGCTGGACAGAGTATCCGGAGTGACATGAGAGTGACATGAATCCCGGATTGACAAAAAGCAAAAATCGAGTTTAATAACGATATGAAGAGGTGGAGAGTTCGAAAGAAGGCCGGATATAAAAAAGAAGGCCGGCCTTCGAAAGAAGGCCGGATATACGAAATTTTGATTCGGATACAGGATATCCAAAAATTTCCAACTATCCGTCAGCCTTTGTGGAGATTGAGGGGATATATGATATGAAAAATAATTTTTCTACAAATTTTCATTCATCACATAATAACATTTCTTTGCAAATAAGTTCTACGTACCCTTCATCCGACATATCTTGAGCAAAATTATTTAATTCATTTATTATTTTAAAATTTCGTAGGCAAATCTTTCTATTTCCGCAGCCAATTTTCAAAATAGAAAAGCTATCAACGAGGGCAGCGATAACCTCCTTCACTATTATCAGCCCTTCTTTGCAAATGATACAAGGCACTTTCTGTTGTTTAAACATTACGTTATATCGTGTACTGTATAATAGAAATTATATTTATAGATTTATTAATGAATTATTATATATTGTACAGATTGGTCTTAAAGACAATGAAATCTCTGGCCAAAGCAGAGGTGGGTCGGAACAGTCAGAGTTGACGGAAATCGGAAGAGCTGGAAATCGGAACTCGCTCAAATTTCGGAACTCGGAAATCAAAATTATTTTCGTCAATCGCAAGAAAAAAACCGGAAATCGGAATTCCGATCCACCTCTGTGCTAAAATAAGCAGACAGAAACTATAAAACCAGAGCTTTCA